TCTCATACCTCTCTAGCACCCACACAATTATTTCCTTGGCTCTGAATCTCCTTCTGACTGGGATCCAAGGATAGATAATACCTGAGGGGCATTGGCCTTTGCAGGAAGAGGTCAAAAAGGCAAGTCAGGGGATATGAGTACCAAGTCGTGATTTGGATTTTAATTGTCCCTCAAAGGCTCCTCCCTTAAAGGCCTCGTCCCTATTTGATGATGCTGTTGTCAGGGGATGGAACATGTGGGGAGATGAGGCCTAATGGCAGCAGCATTTTCATGAAGGAAACATTGTGGCCTGTCTTACTTTCTCATTGCTGGGACAAAAATACCTGACACTCAGAAGTTAAAGGAGCAGAGGTTTATTTTGGCTCAAAGATTGTAGAGGTTTCAGTCCATAGTCAGCTGGCTTGAAGGCAGGGTGGCTTGGAAGAGGAGAAAGAATTCATGGCATAATCGGCAAGGAGCAGCAGCAGTAATCAAGGGAGTAGGAAGGATATGTACTTCCAAGCCACACCCCCAGTGACCTACCTCTTTTCACCAAGCTTCATCTCCCAACATCACACCCACCTATCAGTGGACTAACCCAGTATAACACACCCATGATCTAGTCACCTCCCCAAAGCCCCACCTATGAGCACATAATGCTTGGGGGGACATCAAGGTATAAACCATAACATTCCAACCCTGGCTCCCAAAGACTCATGCACATCCCTTTGTGCAAAATGTATTTAGTCCCAGGCCAGAGATCTAGCTCAGTGACACTGTGCCTGCCTGGCAAGCACAAGGTCCTGAATTCAATCCCTGGTACCAGAAAAAAAAAAAATCAAAATGTATTTAGTCCATCTTTAAGAGTTGCCAAACTCCTAACAGTTTTAGCATTGCTAAATTTCCAAGTGCAGAGTCTCTGAGATTTAAAGCAAACTCTTAGCTGGAAACCCCTGTAAAAATGAAAAGAAAGGTAAACACTTCCAGCATTCAATGGCACAGGCTAATTATTCCCATCCCAAAAGGCAGAAATAGGGGGGTAGAGAGAAATGGCATCAAAGCAAATACAAAATTCAGCAGAGCAAACATTAAATTCCATAGTTCCATGTCCAGCACCCAGGGCAGTCTGTGGCAAGATGTGAACTCAGAAGGGTTTGGGTGACCCTGTCCTTAAGGCATTGCTGGTGATTGTAGCTCTCATGGCTTCTCTCTTGGGCCAGCTTTGCTGACTGCTTGAGGCTTTTGTTAAACAATCCAGATTCCTGCCTTCTCCATTCTTCTGGGTCTCCACTGCACTTTCAGCTTCGGACTCACAACTTCACACATTGCCCTCTTGGGCATACTGTTTGACCTCCCAGGCCTTCTTCTGAAGTCTAGATGGACGCATTCTGGATCCCACAACTCGTATATTCTGTGTGTGTCTAAAACCAGCACCATATGGATGACTTCGGTGCCTGCCACCAGCAAGAGATTTGTTTCTCTTGTTCATTCAGACAGACACTCAGGCTGCTGCAGCCATGATCCAAGAGGGCCCAGATCCTCTTTGAATTGTAGTCAGATCTTGCTGTCATCTACATGGTGCTGTTTTGCAGACTTTTAAAATTCAAGCATAATCAGGTTAGGCGAGATTCCAGTAAGATTTCAGAGAAAAACGTGGGAGATTTGGCAGTGTGTAACACTGTCAGAGTCCCTACAAGCAGCCTGAAAAAGGCAGTCATGTGAAGTTGTGAGAATTTATTCAAAGCTGCAGCAAAGACCCCAGGGAGGTAGAGATGCCAGGAATGTGGAACACCTCCTGAGTATAACCACAGGTATTGATGAAAGCCAATCCAAGAAAGAGGCCTGCTGCACAGGCAAAGACATAGGCCCACATGGGCCCACAAGGACCCATATCATACCACTATACACCCCAGTGAGTGACATGGAGCTACAGGATTTAATGTTTGCCCTTTTAGATTATGGTCTCGGTTTGGTCTAATTCATCCTTGCTGTTTTACTGTTCCTTCCTTTTAAAATGGAAACATTTACCCTGTGACATCATATCTTGGAACTATACAAC